TGGTCCACGAGTTATGATGACTAGGTGTTGTGATTGTGTCCAGGAGTTATGGTGACTAGGTGTTGTGGTTCAGGAGTTATAGTGACTAGGTGTTGTGATTGTGATCCAGGAGCTATGGTGACTAGGTGTTGTGATTGTGGTCCAGGAGTTATGGTGACTAGCTGTTGTGATTGTGATCAAGGAGCTATGGTGACTAGGTGTTGTGGTTCAGGAGTTATGGTGACCAGGTGTTGTGGTTCAGGATATATTGGTGACTCGGTGTTGTGGTTCACGAGTTATGGTGACTAGGTTTTGTGATTGTGCCCAGGAGTTATGGTGACTAGGTGTTGTGATTGTGTTCAGAGTTATGGTGACTAGGTGTTATGGTCCAGGAGTTATGGTGACTAGGTTGTGGTTCAGGAGTTATGTTGACTAGGTTTTGTGATTGTGGTCCAGGAGTTATGGTGACTAGGTGTTGTGATTGTGGTCCAGGAGTTATGGTGTCAGGGTGTTGTGGTCCAGGAGGTATGGTGATTAGGTATTGTGATTGTGATCCAAGAGTTGTGGTGACTAGTGTGGGCTGTGATCTAGAGTTATGGTGACTTGGTGTTGTAGTACCAGGAATTATGGTGATTAGGTGTTGTAGTCCAGGAATTATGGTGACTAGGTGTTGTGGTCCAGGAGTTATGGTGACTAGGTGTTGTGGTTCAGGAGTTTTGTTGACTAGGTTTTGTGATTGTGGTCCAGAGTTATGATGACTAGGTGTTGTGATTGTGGTCCAGGAGTTATGGTGACCAGGTGTTGTAATTGTGATCCTGGAGCTATGGTGACTAAGTGTTGTGATTGTGGACCAGGAGTTATGGTGACTAGGAGTTGTGGTCCAGGAGGTATGGTGATTAGGTGTTGTGATTGTGGTCCAGGAGTTATGGTGACTAGGTGTTCTCATTGTGATCCAGGAGTTCTGGTGACTAGGTGTTGTGGTCCAAGAGTTATAGTGTCTAGGTGTTGTGATTGTGGTCCAGGAGTTATAGGTGACTAGATGTTGATTGTGGTCCAGAGTTATGGTGACTAGGTGTTGTGGTCCAAGAGTTATGGTGTCTAGGTGTTGTGATTGTGGTCCATGAGTTATAGTGACTAGATGCTGATTGTGGTCTAGGAGATATGGAGACTAGGTGATCTAATTGTGATCCACGAGTTATGGTGACTAGGTGTTGTGATTGTGGTCCAGAGTTGTGGTGACTAGATGTTGATTGTGGGCCAGGACTTATGGGGACTAGGTGTTGTGGTCCAAGAGTTATGGTGACTAGGTGTTGTGGTCCAAGAGTTATGGTGACTAGGTGATTAGTGATCCACGAGTTATGGTGACTAGGTGTTGTGATTGTGGTCCAGGTGTTGTAGTGACTAGATGTTGATTGTGGTCCAGGAGTTATGGTGACTAGGTGTTGTGGTCCAAGAGTTATGGTGTCTAGGTGTTGATTGTGGTCCAGGAGTTATTATGACTAGGTGTTGTGGTCCAGAGTTATGGTGACTAGGTGTTGTGGTCCAAGAGTTATGGTGTCTAGGTTTGATTGTGGTCTAGGAGTTATAGTGACTAGGTGTTGTGATTGTGGTCCAGGAGTTATGGTGACTAGGTGTTGTGGCCTAAGAGTTATGGTGACTAGGTGTCTGATTGTGTTCCATCAGTTCTGGTGACTAGGTGTTCTGATTGTGATTCAGGTGTTATGGTGACTAGGTGTTGTGATTGTGGTCCAGGAGTTATGGTGACTTGGTGTTGTGGTCCAAGAGTTATGGTGACTAGGTGTTCTGATTGTGATCCAGGAGTTATGGTGACTAGGTGTTGTAATTATGGTCCAGGAGTTATGGTGACTAGATGTTGATTGTGGTCCAGGAGTTATGGTGACTAGGTGTTGTGGTCCAAGAGTTATGGTGTCTAGGTGTTGATTGTGGTCAAAGAGTTATGGTGACTAGGTGTTGTGGTCCAGGAGTTATGGTGACTAAGTGTTGTGGTCCAGGAATTATTTTGACTAGGCGTTGCGGTCCAGGAATTATGGAGACTAGGTGTTGTGGTCCAGGAGCTATGGTGACTAGTTGTTGCAATTGTGGTCCAGGAGCTATGGTGACTAGGTGTTGTGATTGTGTTCCAGGAGTTATGGTGACTAGATGTTGATTGTGGTCCAGGAGTTATGGTGACTAGATGTTGATTGTGGTCCAGGAGTTATGGTGACTAGGTGTTGTGGTCCAGGAGCTATGGTGACTAGTTGTTGCAATTGTGGTCCAGGAGCTTATGGTGACTAGGTGTTGTGATTGTGTTCCAGGAGCTATGGTGACTAGGTGTTGTGATTGTGGTCCAGGAGTCATGGTGACTAGATGTTGATTGTGGTCCAGGAGTTAGGTGACTAGGTGTTGTGGTCCAAGAGTATGGCTAGGTGTTGATTGTGGTCAAAGAGTTATGGTGACTAGGTGTTGTGGTCCAGGAGCTATGGTGACTAGGTGTTGTGATTGTGTTCCAGTAGTTATGGTGACTAGGTGTTGCGATTGTGATCCAGGAGCTATGGTGACTAGGTGTTGTGATTGTGGTCCACGAGTTATGATGACTAGGTGTTGGATTGTGTCCAGGAGTTATGGTGACTAGGTGTTGTGGTTCAGGAGTTATAGTGACTAGGTGTTATGATTGTGATCCAGGAGCTATGGTGACTAGGTGTTGTGATTGTGGTCCAGGAGTTATGGTGACTGCTGTTGTGATTGTGATCAAGGAGCTATGGTGACTAGGTGTTGTGGTTCAGGAGTTATGGTGACCAGGTGTTGTTCAGGATATATTGCGACTGGTGTTGTGGTTCACGAGTTATGGTGACTAGGTTTTGTGATTGTGCTCCAGGAGTTATGGTGACTAGGTGTTGTGATTGTGGTTCAGGAGTTATGGTGACTAGGTGTTATGGTCCAGGAGTTATGGTGACTAGGTGTTGTGGTTCAGGAGTTATGTTGACTAGGTTTTGTGATTGTGGTCCAGGAGTTATGGTGACTAGGTGTTGTGATTGTGGTCCAGGAGTTATGGTGTCTAGGTGTTGTGGTCCAGGAGGTATGGTGATTAGGTATTGTGATTGTGATCCAAGAGTTGTGGTGACTAGGTGTAGTGGCTGTGATCTAGGAGTTATGGTGACTTGGTGTTGTATACCAGGAATTATGGTGATTAGGTGTTGTAGTCCAGGAATTATGGTGACTAGGTGTTGTGGTCAGGAGTTATGGTGACTAGGTGTTGATTGTGGTCCAGGAGTTATGGTGACTAGTTGTTGAGATTATGTTTCCGAAGTTATGGTGACTAGGTGTTGTGATTGTATACCAGTAGTTATGGTGACTAGTATTGTGGTCCAGGAGTTATGGTGACTAGGTGGTGATTGTGGTCCAGGAGTTATGGTGGCTAGGTGTTGATTGTGGTCCAGGAGTTATGGTGACTAGGTGTTGATTGTGGTCAGGAATTATGTTGACTAGGTGTTTTGGTCCAGGAGTTATGGTGGCTAGGTGTTGATTGTGGTCTAGAGTTATGGTGAGTACGTATTGTGGTCCAAGAGTTATGGTGACTACATTTTGTGGTCTAGGAGATATGGTGACTAGGTGTTGATTGTGGTCCAGGAGTTATGGTGACTAGGTGTTGATTGTAGTCCTGAGTAGGTGAATAAGTGTTTTGGTCCAGGAGTTGTTGTGACTTGGTGTTGTGGTCCCGGAGTTGTGACTTGGTGTTGTGGTCCTGGTCCAGGAGTTATGGTGACTAGGTGTTGATTGGTGTCCAGGTATTATTGTGACTAGGTGTTGTGGTCCAAGAGTTATGGTGTCTAGGTGTTGATTGTGGTCTAGGAGTTATGGTGACTAGGTGTTGTGATTGTGGTCCATGAATTATGGTGACTAGGTGTTGTGGTCCAAGAGTTATGGTGACTAGGTGTTCTGATTGTGATCCAGGAGTTCTGGTGACTAGGTGTTCTGATTGTGGTCCAGGAGTTATGGTGACTAGGTGTTGATTGTGGGCCAGGAGTTATGGTGTCTAGGTGTTGATTGTGGTCCAGGAATTATGATGACTAGGTGTTGTGGTCCAGGAGTTATGGTGACTATTGTTGTGGTCCGGGAGTTATGGTGACTGGGTGTCGTGTCCAGGAGTTATGGTGACAGTTGTTGTGATCCAGGAGTTATGGTGATTAGTGTTGTGGTCCAGGAGTAGTGGTGACTAGTTGTTGTGGTCCAGAGTTATGGTGACTAAGTGTTGTGGTCCAGGAGTTATGGTGACTAGTGTTGTGATTCAGGAGTTATGGTGACTAGGTTTTGTGGTTCAGGAGTTATGGTGACTAGGAGTTGTAATCCAGGAGTTATGGTGACTTGTGTTGTGGTTCAGGAGTTATGGTGACTAGTGTTGTGGTCCAGGAGTTATGGTGACTAGGTGTTGTGGTCCAGGAGTTATGGTGACTAGGTGTTGTGGTCCAGTAGTAATGGTGACTAGGTTTTGTGGTCTAGGAGTTATGGTGACTAGTGTTGTGGTTCAGGATTTATGGTGACTAGGTGTTGTGATCCAGGAGTTATGGTGACTAGGTGTTTCGGTCCAGGAGTTATCGTGACTAGGTGTTTCGGTCCAGGAGTTATGGTGACTAGGTGTTGTGGTCCAGATATAAAGTTTTCTTCAAAAACTAATGACCACGGGTACGGTTCTCGACCAGTTTGAAGAATTAGTTTCACTCTATCGACATAAGCTTCTGTGCCCTTAATAACATAATGAATACACTATCGGGCGGTCTTGTCGATAGGGGAACATCCCTTTAGTATACTTTATTCTATCTGCTGAATGTTTTGAATCACAATGTGTCCGGAAAAAGCTGACATTTAGTAAAAAACAGCAACAAAACAACAATAATAATGTTTTTTTTTATATCCAGACGATAATCAGAATTTTTTAATGACTCAGAAGAATTGTTGGTAAAATTCGAATTCAGATTTGATCTAAAGACTTGAGAATACGCCACAAAATGTTTTAATTTACCTTCATGAATGAAGGTAAGAACCGCGTTCAAGGAATACATGGTGAATTTCCTAGCACTTTTAACTGCTCACACCGTCGCTCACAAATGGTAAGCTTACAGTAGTTTACGCCATTAAAGTGTTACGTCTAACATGATATTATCGAAAGGAGACTGATTTTTCACCGATGCCTCGATTTACAGGAGTGATTATCAAGAATAACCATGAACTGAGCAGAAATACTATAAATACGAAAATATGTAATAAAACTTACTTTATCTGTCCCGGAGAAGAGAAGGCGATTAACATGCTAAGATATACAAAGTAATGAGGATATTCACTACTGGTACTGTATGTTATTAAAGAACTTATACACAGACAATTGAGGGGGTCGCATGTGTGCATATCGACCAAGACGTATACATATAATAAATACGGGCACATTAACGCAACGAAAAACCTAACGAGAAAGACCCAGCGAAGAACAGCAGGACAACACACATAAAAGGGAAGAGAAATGTACAGTGATTGCCAACCATCACTCAGCAGAGTAGAGATTGTTGTAGTTTACAGGGACGTAGGAGAGTGTCGTAACCTCGGAGTGCCGCGCGTTGGCTCCGAATATGCTAATATACCGGCCCACCACACTCATTATACCTTCTCATATCTCAAAAATTAATCTATAAATTCTCCGTATGTCCTTACTATTACAGCCAACAATGAAATAATCTAAGATCAAATCGTAGGTACCCACGTGAGTATTGCACAATGTTACCGTTACTGATGAGGTGATAAATATACTGTTATTGTGAGGGCGAAATATGGTGTGTTGTAGATTTTGCCTCCTCAATAACCTTCCTCACCACTCTAACGCCGACCAACTGAACGACACCAATTATGTCCCGGCCCCGTCTGGCAGTCGACGGTGGTGGTGGTGGTGGCGGCGACGGCGATGGTGGTGGCGGCGATGATGGTGGTGGAGGAGGAGGTCGAGGTGGTGGTGGTGGTGGCGGCGATGATGGTGGTGGTGGTGGTGGTGGAGGAGGAGGTCGAGGTGGTGGTGGTGGCGGCGATGATGGTGGTGGTGGTGGTGGAGGAGGAGATCGAGGTGGTGGTGGCGGTGGCGACTGTGGTGGTGGTGTTGTTGGCGATGGTGGAAGTATAGTGGTGGTGATGGTCGGTGGTAGAGGTGATGGTGGTAGTGATGGTAGTATGTTAGTGATAGTAATGGTGATAGTGGTGGTGATGGTAGCAGTAGTAGTGATGGTGGTGGTGGCGGTGTTAGTGGGGGTGGCGATGATAGTGATGCTGGTGGTGATGGTAGTAGTGGCGGTGATTATGGTGGGAATGGTGGTGGTGGTTGCAGAGGTAGGTGCCTGTAAGTGGTTGCAGTTGTGCTGGAAATGGGAAACAATATTAAAGATAGTCTGGTGATGATGAGAGTGAAGTTGGCGACTCTGGTGATGATGAGAGTGAAGTTGGCGACTCTGGTGATGATGAGAGTGAAGTTGGCGACTCTGGTGATGATGAGAGTGAAGTTGGCGACTCTGGTGATGATGAGAGTGAAGTTGGCGACTCTGGTGATGATGAGAGTGAAGTTGGCGACTCTGGTGATGATGAGAGAGAAGTTGGCGACTCTGGTGATGATGAGAGTGAAGTTGGCGACTCTGGTGATGATGAGAGTAAAGTTGACGACTCTGGTGATGATGAGAGTGAAGTTGGCGACTCTGGTGATGATGAGAGTGAAGTTGGCGACTCTGGTGATGCTCAGAATGAGGTTGGCGACTTTGGTGATGCTGAGAGTGAAGTTGGCGACTCTGGTGATGCTAAGAGTAAAATTGGCGACTCAGGTGATGTTGAGAGTGAAATTGACGACTCTGGTGAAGCTGAGAGTAAGTTGGAGACTCTGGTGATGCTGAGAGTGAAGTTGGCGACTCTGGTGATGCTGAGAGTGAAGTTGGCGACTCTGGTGATGCTGAGTGAAGTTGGCGACTCTGGTGATGCTGAGAGTGAAGTTGGCGACTCTGGTGATGCTCAGAATGAAGTTGGCGACTCTGGTGATGTTGAGAGTGAAGTTGGCGACTCTGGTGATGCTGAGAGTGTAGTTGGCGACTCTGGTGATGCTGAGAGTGAAGTTGGCGACTCTGGTGATGCTGAGAGTGAAGTTGGCGACTCTGGTGATGCTGAGAGTGAAGTTGGCGACTCTGGTGATGCTGAGAGTGAAGTTGGCGACTCTGGTGATGCTGAGAGTAAAGTTGGCGAACTTGAAGAAGCTAGGAGTCAGGACGGCGGGGAACAGTGACACGAGATGGTGTGTTAAGCAAACCATTCCAGCTGCTCCATAATGCTAAGACAAACATTTCACCTCTCCATAACACTAAGACAAACAATCTAGCTGCTCCATAACGCTAAGACAAACAAGCCAGCTGCTCCATAATGCTAAGACAAACAATCCAGCTGCTCCATAATGCTAAGACAAACAATCCAGCTGCTCAAGAACGCTAAGACAATCCAGCTGCTCCATAACGCTAAGAAAAACAATTCAGCTGCTCCATAAACCTAAGACAATCTAACTGCTCCATAATGCTTAGACAAACATTCCAGCTGCTCCATAATGCTAAGAAAACAATCCAGTTGCTCCATAACGCTAAGACAATCCAGATGCTGCATAACGCATTACAGACGTATATCTTAGTCGTGCGTCCCTGGGCAGAGTCGTGCAGGCGGTGAGTATATGCAGTGCTCTGGGTTGACTCTCTTACATTTTCCAGTTTATAATAATAGTGATGCTCTTACTGTTAACGTCGTAGAAGATGGTGATGTTGGCTGTGAAGATGGTGAGGATGGTGAATAATGTTAGTAATGTGCGTGTCCTCTCTTATAACACAGGTTAATGTTAGTAGTGTTATTCCTCTCTCTTATACACAGGTTAATGTTAGTAGTGTGAGTCCTCTCTCTTATACACAGGTTAATGTTAGTAGTGTGTGAGTCCTCTCTCATATACACAGGTTAATGCTACTAGTGTATGTCCTCTCTCTTATACACAGGTTAATGCTACTAGTGCGTGAGTCCTCTCTCTTATACAGAGGTTAATGTTAATAGTGTGTTTCTCTCTCTTATACAAAGGTTAATGTTAGTAGTGTGTGAGTCCTCTCTCATATACACAGGTTAATGCTACTAGTGTGTGAGTCCTCTCTCTTATACACAGGTTAATGTTAGTAGTGTGTGAGTCCTCTCTCTAATACACAGGTTAATGTTAGTAGTGTGTGAGTCCTCTCTCTTATACACAGGTTAATGTTAGTAGTGTGTGAGTCCTCTCTCTTATACATAGGTTAATGTTAGCAGTGTGTGAGTCCTCTCTCTTATACACAGGTTAATGTTAGTAGTGCGTGAGTCCTCTCTCTTATACACAGGTTAATGTTAGTAGTGCGTGAGTCCTCTCTCTTATACACAGGTTAATGTTAGTAGTGTGTGAGTCCTCTCTCTTATACACAGGTTAATGCTACTAGTGTGTGTCCTCTCTCTTATACACAGGTTAATGTTAATAGTGTGCGAGTCTCTCTCTCTTATACACAGGTTAATGTTAGTAGCGTGTGAGTCCTCTCTCATATACTCAGGTTAATGTTAGTAGTGTGTGAGTCCTCTCCCTTATACACAGGTTAATGCATTATTATGTGAGGTCCTCTCTTATACAGGTTAATGTTAGTAAGTGTTATTGTGTCTCTCTCTTATACAGGTTAATATTAGTAGTGTGTGAGTCTCTCTCTTTACACAGGTTAATGTTAGTAGTCGTGAGTCCTCTCTCTTATACACAGGTTAATGTTAGTAGTGTAGTCCTCTCTCTTATACACAGGTTAATGTTACTAGTGTGTGTCCTCTCTCTTATACAGGTTAATATTAGTAATTGTGTGGTCCTCTCTCTTATACACAGGTTAATGTTAGTAGTGCGTGAGTCCTCCTCTTATACAGGTTAATGTTAGTAGTGTGTGAGTCCTCTCTCTATACAGGAATTTACTGATGTGAGTCCTCTCTCTTATACACAGGTTAATGTTAGTAGTGTGTGCTCTCTCTCTTATACACAGGTTAATGTTAGTAGTGCGTAGTCCTCTCTCTTATACACAGGTTAATGTTAGTAGTGTGCGAGATCCTCTCTCTTATACAGGTTAATGTTAGGTGTGAGTCCTCTCTCTTATACACAGGTTAATGTTGGAGTGTGTGAGTCCTCTCCATATACACAATAGTGGTATGTAAGTCCTCTCTCTCTTATACAAGGTTAATGTTAGTAAGTGATTACTCTCTCTTATACAGGTTAATGTTAGTAGTGCGTAGCTCTCTCTTATACAGTTAATGTTAAAGCGTGAGTCTCTCTTATACACAGGTTAATGTTGGTAATTAAGTCCTCTCTTATACACAGGTTAATGTTAGCAGTGTGAGTCCTCTCTTATACACAGGTTAATGTTAGTAGTGTGTGAGTCCTCTCTTATACAGGTTAATGTTAGGGCGTGTGGTCCTCTCTCTTATACAGGTTAATGTTAGGTGTGAGTCCTCTCTCTTATACACAGGTTAATGTTAGTAGTGTGTGAGTCCTCTCTCTCTTATACACAGGTTAATGTTAGTAGTGCGTGAGTCCTCTCTCTTATACACAGGTTAATGTTAGTAGTGTGTGGGTCCTCTCTCTTATACACAGGTTAATGTTAGCAGTGTGTGTGTGTCCTCTCTCTTATACGGGTTAATGTTAGTAGTGTGTGGAGTCCTCTCTCTTATACACAGGCTAATGTTAGTAGTGTGTGAGTCTCTCTCTTATACACAGGCTAATGTTAGTAGTGTGTGAGTCCTCTCTCTTATACACAGGTTAATGTTACTAGTGTGAGTCCTCTCTCTTATACACAGGTTAATGTTAGTAGTGTGTGAGTCTCTCTCTTATACACAGGTTAATGTTAGTAGTGTGGTCCTCCTCTCTTATACACAGGTTAATGTTAGTAGTGTTTGAGTCCTCTCTCTTATACACAGGTTAATGTTAGTAGTGTGTGAGTCCTCTCTCTTATCACAGGTTAATGTTAGTAGTGTGTGAGTCTCTCTCTATACACAGGTTAATGTTAGTAGTGTGTGAGTCCTCTCTCTTATACACAGGTTAATGTTAGTAGTTTGAGTCCTCTCTCTTATACACAGGTTAATGTTAGTAGTGTGAGTCCTCTCTCTTATACACGGTTAATGTTAGTAGTGTGATCCTCTCTTATACACAGGTAATTAGAGTGAGTCCTCTCTCTTATGCCAGGTTAATGTTAGTAGTGTGTGAATCCTCTCTCTTATACACAGGTTAATGTTATTAGTGTGTGAGTCCCTCTCTTATACACAGGTTAATGTTGGTAGTGTGTGAGTCCTCTCTCTTATACACGATTTAGTAGTGTGTGATCCTCTCTCTTATACACAGGTTAATGTTAGTAGTGTGGTCCTCTCTTTACACAGGTTAATGTTGGTAGTGTGAGTCCTCTCTCTTATACACAGGTTAATGTTAGTAGTGTGAGTCCTCTCTCTTATACACAGGTTAATGTTGGCAGTGTGTGAGTCCTCTCTCTTATACACAGGATGTGTGGTGTTAGTCCTCTCTCTTATACACAGGTTAATGTTAGTAGTGTGAGTCCTCTCTCTTATACACAGGTTAATGTTAGTAATTAGTGTGAGTCCTCTCTCTTATACACAGGTTAATGTATGTCTCTCTTATACAGTTAATGTTAGTAGTGTGTGAGTCCTCTCTCTTATACACAGGTTAATGTTAGTAGTGTGTAGGTCCTCTCTCTTATACACAGGTTAATGTTAGCAGTGTGTGTGTCCTCTCTCTTATACACAGGTTAATGTCAGTGTGTGTGTCTCTCTTATACACAGGTTAATGTTAGTAGAATCTCTCTTACACAGTTAATGTTAGTAGTGTGTGAGTCCCTATAGTCTCTCTTATACACAGGTTAATGTTAGTAGTGTGTGAGTCTCTCTCTCTTATACACAGGTTAATGTTAGCAGTGTGTGTTCACTTCTTATACACAGGTTAATGTTAGCAGTGTGTGTGTGTCGTCTCTTATACACAGGTTAATGTTAGTAGTGACTCTCTTATACACAGGCTAATGTTAGTAGTGTGTGAGTCCTCTCTCTTATACACAGGTTAATGTTAGCAGGAGTCCTCTCTCTTATACACAGTTAATGTTATAGTGTGAGTCCCTCTCTCTTATACACAGGCTAATGTTAGTAGTGTGTGAGTCCTCTCTTATACACAGGTTAATGTTAGTAGTGTGTGAGTCCTCTCTCTTTAACACAGGCTAATGTTAGTGTGTGAGTCCTCTCTTATACACAGGCTAATGTTAGTAGTGTGTGAGTCCTCTCTCTTATACACAGTAATGTTAGTAGTGCGAGTCCTCTCTATACACAGGTTAATGTTAGCAGTGTGTGTGTGTCGTCTCTCTTATACAGGTTAATGTTTGTGGTGTGAGTCCTCTCTCTTATACACAGGCTAATGTTAGTAGTGTGTGAGTCCTCTCTCTTATACACAGGCTAATGTTAGTAGTGTGTGAGTCCTCTCTCTTATACACAGGTTAATGTTAGTAGTGCGTGGGTCCTCTCTCTTATACACAGGTTAATGTTAGTAGTGTGTGAGGCCTCTCTCTTATACACAGGTTAATGCTACTAGTGTGTGAGTCCTCTCTCTTATACACAGGTTAATGTTAGTAGTGTGTGAGTCCTCTCTCTAATACACAGGTTAATGTTAGTAGTGTGTGAGTCCTCTCTCTTATACACAGGTTAATGTTAGTAGTGTGTGAGTCCTCTCTCTTATACACAGGTTAATGTTAGCAGTGTGTGTGTGTTCCTCTCTTATACACAGGTTAATGTTAGCAGGTGTGAGTCCTCTTATACACAGGTTAATGTTAATAGAGCGAGTCTCTCTTTATACACAGGTTATTGTTAGTAGTGTGAGTCCTCTCTCTTATACACAGGTTAATGTTAGTAGTGTGTGAGTCCTCTCTCTTATACACAGGTTAATGTTAGTAGTGCGAGTCCTCTCTCTATACACAGGTTAATGTTAGCAGTGTGTGTGTCATCTCTTATACACAGGTTAATGTTAGTAGTGTGTGAGTCCTCTTATACACAGGCTAATGTTAGTAGTGTGTATCCTCTATACACAGGTTAATGTTAGAGTGTGTGAGCTCTCTCACACAGGTTAATGTTAGTAGTGCGTGAGTCCTCTCTCTTATACACAGGTTAATGTTAAGTGTGTGTGTGTGTCGCTCTCTTATACACAGGTTAATGTTAGTAGTG